AGAATTTCTGGTTCAGTGGGTCTGGAGTGGTGGTCTGGGAATCTGCATTTCTAGCAAGTCCCTAGATGATGCTGATATTGTGGTCAGGGGCCCACAAGACGAATCTGCTAAATTCATGCAGTGTGGTTTTTTTTTTAATCCTCACCTGAGGACATTTTTCCATTTTTTGTTCAGATAGAGTAGAAGGGAGAGAGAGGAAGAGAGAGAAACATCGATGTGAAAGGGACACATCGAGTGGCTGCCACCCGCACAACCCAACCAGGGCCGGGGACAAACTGCAACCGAGGTACATGCCCTTAGTGGAAACCGAACCCATGTCTCTCTGGACCGGAGGCCGACGCTCTAACCAAACTGGCCAGGCCACGCAGTATGTTTTTGATAGAAATCAGTTCCATTGGCTACCACAAAGTCCCACTTGCATGACCTTTACCTGGGAGTTAGTCATTATCCTTTCTTACTCCTTACTTTCCTTATAGTTTTATCACATAAGTAGGAATCCTTAACAAATGGATTTGGTTTTTATTAATTTTTTAATGTTTTTATTTGATTTTTAGAAGGAAAGGAAAGGAGAGGGAGAGATAGAAACATCAATAAGAGAGAAACATCAGTCGGGTGCTTCCTGTCTGATCCCCACTGGGGATTGAATTCACAACCCTGGCATGTGCCCTGGCCAGGAATTGAACCAGCGACCTCTCAGTGCATGGGTCGACGCTCAACCATTGAGCAACACTGTTCAGATAGAGTAGGAGGGAGGGGGAGGGGGGGAGAGAGAGAGAGAGAGAGAGAGAGAGAGAGAAAGAGAGAAACATTGACGTGAAAGGGACACATCAAGTGGTTGCCACGCGCACGACCCAACCAGGGCCGGGACAAACTGCAACCAAGGTACGTGCCCTTAGCGGAAACCGAACCCGGGTCTCTCTGGACCACAGGCCGATGCTCTAACCGCTGAGCCAAACCAGCCAGGGCCAGATTTTGTTTTTATTTTAAAGTCTTATGAAAACTGCCCAGTCTGTGTGGCTCAGTGGTTGAGCGTCGACCCATGCACCAAGCGGTCACCAGTTCGAGTCCCAGTTAGGGCACGTGCCTGGGTTGTGGGCCTGATCCTCAGTGGGGGTCATGCAGGAGATGGCCAATTGATGTTCTCTCTCATCTATGTTTTTGTCTCCCTTTCCCTTCCTCTTTCTCTAAAATCAATAAAGAAAAAAGAAGAAGAAAACATATAAATATTAATTAATATAAAGTTAAAATGTATTAACATTCTTTATTGTGCCTTTTGGTGAACACTAGTTCTTAATTTTAGTTCAAGTTTCCTTTATGGTTAGTGCTTTTTATGTCATATTTAAGAAATACTGCCCTGGGTCAGTTGGTTAGAGCGTCCTTCCGAGGTTTCAGTTTGATCCCTGGTCAGGGCAACATACAAGAATCAACCAATGAATGCACATATAAGTAGAACACCAAATCAATCAGTCAATCTCTCTCCCTCTCTCTCTTTCTTTCTAAAATCAGTTTAAAAATACTCCAAGGTCGTGTGTGTGTGTGTGTGTGTGTGTGTGTGTGTGTGTATGATCTGTTTTTATTGATTTTTTTTTTTTAGAGAGAGAGAGGAAGGGGGAGAGAGAGAGAAAGGAAGGGAGAGAGAGAGAGAGAGAAAAACATCGACGTGAGAGAGACAGCAATCGGGTGCTTCCTGCACACCCACCACTGGAGATTGAGCCCACAACCCAGACATGTGCCCTGATTGGGAATGGAACCGGCACCTCTCAGTCCATAGGACAATGCTCAATCCATTGTGCCACACCAGCCGGGCCAGATATATATTTTTAAATTTCAAACTCGTGTCTTTAGTTCATCTGAAATTCATTTTTGTGTGTGACACCATATGCATGTAGAGATCTAATCTCATTTCTCTCAGATGGTAACCATTTTTTCTGTTACTGATGTATTCAATAGTAGTTCCTTTCTTTGCTTTTCCCCAGGTATATGCAGAGCCACCTTTGTCATATATTAAATTTCTATCTATTCGTGGGTTTGATTAGAGCTTTTTAAAAATCTAATGAGAAATACTGATTAAGATTTTAAGAATGAATTAGTTTCAAGGCTTGTGAAACACTTTATAGATTAGGACATAAATCATAAAACAATGTATAAAAATAATGTTTAAATCGCTATCAGTTAATGTAATGATTCAGTAATAAAACTGATCAAGTTTTTTAAAAAATATTTTTTATTGATTATTTAGAGAGAGAGTAAGGGAGTATGAGATAGAAACATCGATGTGAGAGAGAGAGAGAGAGACATCAATCGGGTGCCTCCTGCACACCTCCCACTGGGGATCGAGCCCACAACCCTGACATGTGCCCTGACCGGGAATCGAACCTGGACCTCTCAGTCCATGGGACAACACTCAGTCCACTGAGCCACACCGGTGGGTTCTGTTCAAGTTTTTTTTAAAAGATATAATTCACTCAGAGTGTAAAAATTTTGTAAGACTATGGTAGTCAGAAGAACAATTTCACTTCAGAGGTGTGTATGTACTTAACAAAGTGACTGTTAATGGATTTTCCTGAAACTCCCAAACAGCACAAAGTTGTTGTTTTTTTTAATCCTTACCCAAGGATATTTTTCCTTATTTTATTTTATTTTTTTTATTTTAGATAGAGTGTGAGGGAGGGAGGGAGGGAAGGAGAAAGAGAGAGAGAAATGTCAGTGTGAGAGAGACACATCGTTTGGTTGCCTCCTGCATGACACCAATGGGGCCAGGCTACAAACCTGCAACCAAGGTACATGCCCTTGACTGGGAATTGAACCCATGACTTTTTGGTCTGTGGGCCAATGCTCTAATTGCTGGGCCAAACCATCCAGGGCACAAAGTATTTATTTATTTTTTATTCAGATGGGGGGGGGAGGGCAGAGAGAGAAACATTGATGTGAACATTGATGTGAAAGGGACACATCAAGTGGTTGCCATCCACACGACCCAACCAAGGCCGGGGACAAACTGCAACCAACGTACATGCCCTTAGCGGGAACTGAACCTGGGTGTCTCTGGACTACAGGCCGACGCTCCAACCACTGAACCAAACCGGCCAGGGCACAAAGTATTTTTTAAATTATCTTTCATAAATACATTATATCACTTGTGTTTCTATGTAGTGGGAGAATCTAGATTTTAAAATGTTATATATTGCCCTGGCCATGTAGCACAGTTGGTGAGAATATCGTCCTGATACCCCAAAGTTTCAGGTTCAATCTTTGGTTAGGGCGCATAAAATCAGCAACCAAAGAAAGCATAAACAAGTAAAACAACAAATCAATGTTCCTCTCTCCCTTCCTTTCTTTCTCTAAAATCAATAAATAAACCAATAAAAATAAACTTGTATATAATAGGAATACATAAGCCTTGTCTTTTGAAGACACAGGAGAGTTTGAAATAAGATTTTAAAAGTAGGAATAGAACCAGAGGGTGGGAGGGAGGGAATGCCAACAAACAAACAAACAAAAGAAACCGTGGATTGATTCATAGGTTTCTGCACTTAGTGGGACAAGGGAAAAGAAGTCTACAGTGGCCCCAGTGTTGAAAGTTACACAACTTGGAGATGATGAATCACTGACAAGTTTGGGTAAGGTAATGAGGGGGTGACCTGTTTGGGGGAAAAGATGATGTTTGTTTTTTTTCTCCCAAGTCTGTTGCTTCTAAACTTTCCTCAAGGAATTTTTCAGGACCTTTGAAATGTGTGTTAATGGCTTCCAAAAGTAAAAGGGCTTAAATCCAAAGCTCTAGCCCTGGCTGGTTTGGCTCAGCAGTTGTAGTGTTGGCCTGTGGCCCGGTTCCCACTAAGGGCACATACCTCAGTTGCAGTTTGTCCCCGGCCTGGGTTGGTTGTGTGGGAGGCAGCCACTTGATGTGTCCCTTTCATGTTGATGTTTCTCTCTCTCTCTCTCTCTCTCTCTCTCTCTCTCTCTCTCTCTCCCCCTCTCCCTCCCACTCTATCTGAACAAAAAAATGGAAGGGTGTCCTCGGGTGAGGACAAAAAAAAAATCCAAAGCTCTAGATAGCTAGTTAATTTTTTTTAAATTATTATTTTTAAAATTTTCTTAATTAGGTAGCAAGTGCCCAATTTTCGTCAATTTATTGTTTTTAACATCAGATTCCAGTAATATATAAGCCGGATCTACAGAGAGCAGCCCCGGGAAAGCACGTTAGAATGGGAGTTGAGAGATCAGGATCTTCATCGAGGTTCTGCCACTGATGTATGTGGCAAGGGGGTAAGTGTCTGCATCTAGGGCTCCTTAAACATGTCGGGTGACTGTTTCCTTCTGGCGCTAAAGCTCTAAGTCTTCCTCTTTTTAAGCAATAGTAAAATGTATCCGTGTGAATTCAACTCATCCTACAGTTGAGTTGCAGCCAAGCAGCTGTCAGGTGAGTCAATGGGCTCCTTTCTCCCCAGTTCTCAAACCTTAGGGGGAAACCCACTTTACATGCTTTGGGTGGCCTACAGTTGGTCGGATTTGAAGGACTGTAACAGCACAGGTGAGATCTGCGGCCAGGACATGTCCAAAACACAAACACCAGAGGATGCTGACTCTGACAGCTCCCATCAGAACAAACCAAAGGCCAGAGTTGCGATGGCGCGGGGGCGTCGCACCTGCTTCCTGCGGGTCACGCTTTCTGCCCCTAAACGCACATTGGTTTGGTTTTGCATTCTCCGGCGGGAAGCTCTTTTCTTGCCGAAGCGCATCTCGGCCTTTGTCTCCGAGATTCGCTCAGACCTTGCGGAAGGAATAAGACCCTAAGACGTGGTCTAAGACTCCGCCGGGCTGCCCAGGGAGTCAGGAGCGCAGTCGGCGGCGGTCGCAGGGGCGCGCCCGGGCCCAGCTGGGAACCCGGGCGCCGCGGCCCCGCCTGACCCGGAAGGGCTGGCGCGTGGTAACCCCGGCTTCCCTAGCAACCGAGCCCGCGCCAGGCCAGCCAGCGCCGGCCGCTGCGTCTGCCTCCCGCGATGCCCCTGCCCGTTAGCGACTACCGCTGGCAGCAGACGGAGGCTGCGGTCTTTATCTCTGTGCCCCTCCGGGGCGTCTGCGTCCGAGATGCGGACGTGTTCTGCACGGAAAACTATCTGAAGGTAGGAACGCGGGGCCCAGCGGCTCCCGGGGGGTCGGCCGCTCTGCTAGTGCGCCCGTGTGCGCGCGCCCGGCGCGTCCTTGCACCTACCGCCTAAAATTACTGCGCTGAGCCACGACACAGCCCCGTGCTGGTGACACCTCCTCTGTAAGCAGATGTTATCAAGTCGGTTGTTTTTCTCCAGGGCTTCCTACCTAAGCCTTGCTAACCTTTCGCGACCTGGAATAAGTTTATGGCAGGCATTTAAGAGAATGATTTTGGCCTCTGGCACGTATTTCTTAACGGCTGTTTTTAATCTGTGTAACTAAATTAACTTTCGTTTCCCCCCTCCTCCTGATTAGGTCAACTTTGCTTCATTTTTATTTGAGGTGTTTCTCTACGCTCCCATAGACGATGAGAGCAGCAAAGCCAAGATTGGGAATGACACTATTGTTTTCACCTTACATAAAAAAGAACCGGTCATGTGGGAGACCCTTTCTGTGTCAGGTGGTGAGTTCTTTGTTAAAAGATGGTCATCTGGTTGTGCTTTTTATATTTTATACCTTTCTAAAATTTTCCTCTTTTGGAACAATTATGTTGCTCTTCTAGGTAAAAAATAGGCACATGAGCATGACTTAAATGAGATAGTGCTTCAACTGCCATTTAAAGGAAATAACCTAAAGATTGAATTATTCAAAAGTTAGAGCACACATTAATAACTCTTTTTTGTTTTGGTGGTACGTGCCCCTAACGGAAACCGAACCCGGGACTCTCTGGTCCCCAGGCCAACGCTTAACTGCTGGGCCAAACTGGCCAGGGCACACATTAATAACTTTTTTTTTTTTTTTTTTTTATCCTCACTCGAGGACATTTTCCCATTTTTTTATTCAGCTAGAGCGGGAGGGAAAGAGAGGAAGAGAGAGAGAGAAACATTGACGTGAAAGGGACACATTGAGTGGCTGCCACCTGCACGACCCAACCAGAGTTGGGGACAAACTGCAACCGAAGTACGTGCCCTTAGCGGGAACCAAACCCCGGGGCTCTCTGGACCGCAGGCCGATGCTCCAACCGCTGAGCCAAACTGGCCAGGGCACACATTAATAACTTAAGCAGAAGATGTGGTTTGCATCTTTAGTAGATAAGGCCTTCTGGATATGACCTTTCTTGAGCACTTATTTTGTATTAGGCATTAACACATCCTCACTTAGGTCCCCCGCTTTTTTTTTTAAAGGTGAGGCTACTGAGGCACAGAGGGTTTAGTAATTGACAAAGGTCACTCAACTAGTAAGTGGCAGACTGAAACTGGAGCCTTAGCAGATTGACTGTAGAATGGTGATTCTCAACCCTGCCTCCATATTTGAATCACCTTAGAACTTTTAAATAATACACAAGTCTGAAACTTACCCTAGGCCAATCAAACCAGTTTCTAGGAGTGGGACCCCAGAGTTGGTAGTTTTGTAAAAAGCTTTCCAAGAATCATAATGTGTGGAATTAAGATTCCCTATTCTCTGTACTCTATTTATTTATTTATTTATTTTTTATCCTCACCCGAGGACATTTTTCCATTTTTTGTACAGATAGAGTGGGAGGGAGAGAGAGGAAGAGACAGAGAGAGAGAAACATCGATGTGAAAGTGACACATCGAGTGGCTGCCACCGCACGACCAACCAGGGCCGGGGACAAACTGCAACCGAAGTACGTGCCCTTAGCGGGAACCGAACCCGGGTCTCTCCGGACCGCAGGCCGATGCTCTAACCGCTGAGCCAAACCGGCCAGGGCTGTACTCTTTATCAGTACAGTACTCTGTTCTTTTGCCAAGAACAGCTTTGTCAGTAGTTGCCCTGCACTGCTTTAGCTGTTTTCTTCCTCCCTCTTCTGGTTTTCATGTTTTACAGTGCTTTATCTCTGCTGCCTGAAATGTCTCTTCGTTCTCTGGCAGCACGGAGTATTAAGAATGGAGAGATAGCAATCATTCTTTGTATGAATGTTTTCTTGTTATCTTGCAGCAGAATTTAACGATTTAATCTTCAGGGCTCAGAATATACTGATTAAAGTAGGTTACTGTAGCTGGGTTACTTTAGTGAGTCCCAGGCTAACTGAGGAATTTTTTTAAAAACACCAGACTCTGCTCTGGCTGGTTTGGCTCAGCAGTTAGAGCGTTGGTCCCCGGAGCAGAGAGTCCTGGGTTCCTGCTAAGGGCACCTACCTCTGTTACAGTTTGTCCCCAGCCCCAGTTAGGGTTGTGTGGGTGGCAACCAGTCAACGTGTCTCTCTCACATGGATGTTTCTCTGTCTCTTCCTTTCTCCCTCCCACTCTATCTGAAGATAAATGCGAAAGTGTCTTCGAGTGAGGATAAAAAAAACAAAAACACATTATGAAGGACCTGTAAGGCTTTAATTATTCTGCCAAGGGATCTGCAGTACCCAAAAAGTTAAGAATCCCTGTCTTGGCCCTGGCCAGTTTGGCTCAGCGGTTAGAGCGTTGGCCTGCGGTCTGGAGAGACCCGGGTTCGGTTCCCGCTAAGGGCGCGTACTTCGGTTGCAGTTTGTCCCCGGCCCTGGTTGGTCGTGTGGGTGGCAGCCACTCGATGTGTCCCTTTCACGTCGATGTTTCTCTCTCTCTCTCTCTCCCTCCCACTCTATCTGTACAAAAATTGCAAAAATGCCCTCGGGTGAGGATAAAAAAAAATAATAATAATAATAAAAAAGAATCCCTGCCTTGGACCTGCTTCATCTCTGCCTTCTCCCCCCATCCTACCTCACCCTCTTGCCCCAGGTTTTCTCTCCTCTCCTGTATTTTTTCCCCTCAAAGTCTAGATGCCTCTGTGATCCCACTTCCCCTAAGATAATTTACCTCATCCCTAATGGATCGTAGCCTGTGTGTAAAACATTGAGTCACTGAGTATAAAAATAACTGTGAATGGTAAAATTCTATATATAACAAATTGTGTTACTTTATAATATTTCCTAGGGCTGACCCTGAACTCTTCATGTGTATAAATTACCTTTTTGTTTGTGAAGGTGATTGATCATATCAGAGAGTCTCAACCCATTTTCTCTTCTAGACCTTATAGTGATTATTTATTGTGACCAGGTTTACAAGCAAATACCCCTGCTGTCTCAACAGAGAGGAGGATATATGTATTATCTCTCTCCTCATCTTGTCTCTTCCCTCTACCTTTCCTTCCTCTTCTCTCTCCCTCTCATTCCACTATCCTCTCTCTCTTGTGCCTTTTTGTTCTCCCTCTCTCCCGGCCCTTCCCCTCACCCCATTTTTTCTCTCATTCCCTCTCTGTGTTGTTCCTCCTCTCTCTGATTCATATTCTCTCTCTCATTCTCTCCCCCCTCTCATTCTGTAGTAATTAATTACTATACAATTACTTGCTGACCATTTAAGGTTAGCTTCTTGGCCAGTTTAATATTGAAAAATGTTTTCACTTTTCCATGTGAAGTTGGGTCCAAAATAAATCTCATCCTGAGCCCAGCCGGTGTGGCTCAGTGGACTGAGTGTCCTTGCATGGACTGAGAGGTCCCAGTCCGATTCTAGTCAGGGCACATGCCCGGGTTTGGGGCTCAATGCCCAGTAGGGGGCGTGCAGGAGGCAGCCAATCAATGTTTTGCTCATACTGTACTGACGTTTCTATCTCTCTCTCCCTTCCTCTCTCTCTTTAAACAAAATCAATAAAAATCTCATCCTGAATCATAATGTTAAGCAGTTTCTTCTAAGTAAAACAAATTTATCATATCCTAATTTAGTGATTTCTTTTTTTAAATATATTTTTTTAATTAATTAATTTTTGTTACAGATGTTTCTCCTTTTCCCCCCCATTGACACCCTCTTCCCAATCCCGCCCCCTAGTGATATTTCTTATGTTTTAGTTGACAAAGAGATGATGCAAAGAATACGGGAGAAATCTATTTTACAAGCACAAGAAAGAGCAAAAGAAGCTATGGAAGCAAAAGCTGCAGCAAGGCGGGAAGATCAAAAATATGCACTAAATGTCATGATGAAGGTAAGTTACAGATTGATAGGAAGGTCCCCTAATTAAAGAGATGATAGCCCTGACTGGTTTGGCTCAGTGGTAGAGCTTTGGCCCATGGACCAATGAGTCCCGGGTTTGATTCCAGGCAAGGGCACATACCTCAGTTGCGGTTTGACCCCAGCCCTGGTTGAGGTCCTGCGGGAGGCAACCAGTCAGTGTGTCTCTCTCATGTCAATGTTTATTTCTCTCTCTCCCCATCTCTCCCTTTCTCTCTACCTGAAGATAAATAGAAAAATATCCCTGGGTGGAGATAAAAAACAAACAAACAAAAAATTAAAATGGGCCTGATTCTTGCATTGCATACCTGATAGGCCGGTTGTGAGTTCCTAACAGAACAGGACACATTAAAGCCTCTATAAAGGCATCTAAATGTATCCTGGCATCATTAAATAAATAAATAAATAATATTAATAAAATAAAGAGATGATAATAAACTATGTAAAGATGATTAGTTCCAAGCACTGTATTTTCTCACCTTTTTGTTCATACTTTGGTTATAGGACTTACTAAGTTATATAGGCTCTCTGCTAATTGCATGTGTTCCTGAAAATATGAAAGTTGAGAGTGTAAATGTTGAATAATAATAGATTTACTTGTTTCAGTGAGAATTTTCTATTTCCAGGGAAGTCAGAAGATAAGGTTTTATAGTGTATTTTACCTCTTAATCTTAGAATAATGAACATAATTATTTAAAATAAGAAAAACACTAAATATTGACAAATTAGTATCTTTTTAACTATTGAGGATTTCAAGTTAAAGCTTTAATCAGCAATATTTTTTGAGATATGATTCACATACCCTACAATTCACCCATTTAAAGCTTACAATTCATTCGTTTTTAGTATATTTAGAGTTGAGCAATCATCACCACAATCAATTTTAGAACATTTTCATCACCCCCCAAAAAACCCCATAACCATCAGCAGTCACTATCCATTCCTCCCACCCTGGCCCTAGGCAACCACTAATCTACTTTCTATCACTATAGATTTACCTATGCTAACTAGTTTTTGCAAGTAATGTCTTACCTTATATTCTCATTTGATGTCTTGAGATGATAAGAAATCCATACTAACCATTATCTCATCAAGAGCTCTGAACCTTTGACTCTTCTTTTGCATTTGGATCATTAGTATTGTTTTTATAATCAACAGTTGATCATTCCAAAGATTTCTTCTCTTTTATCACTTCTACTTGATTTTTAATATAGCCTGTTGTTATACACTTTGTTTCTTAATTAAATAGTCAACTGACCAAAGATTCTTGCAGTATACTTGATGAGTTCCAGTTTTTCTTGATTGTATTATCAGTTCTGTGAGCCTTTTGATTTTATCATTTTCCTGAATTTAAAAATATAAAAGCAAAGAATAAAATTTGTGACAACAGGTAAATAGTTACTGAACTAATAAAACAGGGTAGTACTGGCCTCGTAAAATGAGTTTGGGGGTGTTTCTTCCTCCTCAATTTTTGGGAAGAGTTTTGAAACCACTAGTACTCTTTAAATGTTCGATAGAATTTGCCTGGCCAGTGTGGCTCAGTGGTTGAGCATCAGTCCATACACCAAGAGGTCACCGGTTCGATTCCTGGTCAGGACACATGCCCAGGTTGTGGGCCAAATCCCCAATGTGGGGCATGCAGGAGGCAGCCAATTGATGTTCCCTCTCATCAATGTTTCTATCCCTCTCCCCCCCTCCCTTCCTCTCTCGCTAAAATCAATGAAGAAAAAGATTAAATGTTTGATAGAATTTACCAGTGAAGCCATCTGGTCCTAGACCTTTCTTTCTTTCTTTCTTTTCTTTTTTTTTTTTTTTACAGTGGAGTTAACACAGCCTTTTTAATAAGTGGTGTTGGGAAAATTGGACAGCTACATGCAAAAAATTGAAATTAGAACCATCAACTTACACTATACACAAGAATAAACTCAAAATGGATAAAAGACTTAAATGTGACTCATGAATCCATAAAAATCCTAAAAGAAAATGTAGGCAACAAAATTTCAGACATCATACGCAGCAGAATTTTCGCTGATTCATCAGTTTCTAAGCAGATGAAGTAAAACTAGTCACTCAGTATTCTTGTGTGGCTTCCTTTCTCCTGCATAGTCACTCTCTGGAGTTTCCTTGTCTTGGGCTCCGGCAGAGGGAGGGCAGACTGGACTGGAACTGTGTGGGGACACTCGGGATTTAGAGGGCACTCAGAGCTTTTGCTGAGTTGCTGCCACGCAGGACGGTGGCCATCTTGCTCCTGGACCTTTCTTTCTTAGGAGGTTTTTGACAACTGATTCAATCTCCTTACTTGTAATTGGTCTGCTTAGATTTTCTATTTCTTCATGATTCAGTCTTGGTAGGTTTTATGTTTCTAGGAATTTATTCATTTCTTTTAGGTTGTTCAATTTGTTAGTGTACAATTGTTCATTGTAGTTTCTTGTGATCCTTAGTATTTCTGTGTTATCAGTTGTAATGTCTCCTCTTTCATTTCTGATTTTTCTATGAGTCTTCTCTCTTTTTTCCTAATCTAGCTTAAGATTTGATGGGCATTAGCGTTACTTCTACATTTTGGCTATTGTGAATAATGCTGCTATGAACATGGGTGTACAAATATCTCTTCCAGACCTTGATTTCAGTTCTTTTGGGTATGTCTGTACCCAGAAGTGGATTTGCTGAGTTATATGGTAAGGATACTTCTGTTTTTAATTTCTTGAGTAAGTAGCATACCAGCTGTACCTTTTTATATTCCCACTAATAGTGAACAAGGATTTCAATTTCTCTACATCCTTACCAATATTTGTTTTCTCTTTTTTTGATAGTAGCCATTCTAATGGGTGTAAATGGTATCTCATTGTGGTTTTGATTTGCTCCTCACTGCCATTTTAATTTTCTTTTTTTTTACTTGCAAATTAATTTTTTATTATAAGAAACATGTATTTATTGCAGAAATGTTTAAAATATGCACATATAAAGGAATTAAACTTATAAATGAGATGTTTATTTTAATTGAAAATATGCAAAATTTTTTCTTTAGATTTTTATATAGACACCTTTTTGTGGCCATTGTTTTTCTCGTGTAGTTTTTGTCTTTTTGGCTCTATCTCCCTCTCTCTTTTCTTCATATACCCACCAAAATAATCTCCCTTTTAAATCTGATTTACTCTCTTGATGTATTTTTTTGTCCATGTTTATGTAATAATAATGTATAGCAATTATATACATATTTTAAAGCTCACATATATTGAATATTTACTATATAACTAATGATTGTGTTAAGCATTTTATTTGAATTTTTGCATTTAATTCTCATAAAAATGCCTTATGAGGTTCTTTACTATAATTTTTTTTTCTCTCATTTTATGGAGGAAGAAATTTAGTCACATAGACATTAAGTGATTTGATTAAAGTTACTAAGTAAGTGAAAGAACTGGAACTGTACTTTGGTTCCTATGTGTATATCTTTTAAAATAAAAATATTATGTAATACATAATGTTCAAGAGTTTTCTTTTTTATTTAATACTACGCTGTAAACATTTACTTGATAGGTACTTATTGTGATGCTACTAATGCCAGTCACTGCTATCGGGATTTCTCCTTAACTTCTGTGTCTAACCCTCACCAAGGACCATTTATTTTACCTCCTAAATATCTCTCAAATCTTTTCTTTCTTTGTTCAGTGCCACCAATGTAAGACATGCCACCATCCCCTACCATCTAGATTATGGCAACAGCGAGGGTCCTAATAGGCATACTGATATCTGTTCCTGAGTCCATCCCATCCGTTCTCTGCTTTGAAGTCAGGCTGATCTTTTCAAACCCAAAATCTAATCACATCTCTTCTCCATGTGAAATCCTTCAATGACTGTAGGATAAGAATGCAAATATGAATATTTGGACCTTTATTTTCTAGTCTTCCACTAATCTCCTGAATTTTTTCTCTTAGCATTACAATCACACTAAATTGCTTTCAGTTCCTTGAATCTGACCCTAGGGCTTTGACATGTTTCCTAAACTGGAAAATTTCTTCACTGTCCATTAATTACTCCTGTCTCAGATCTCCCCTTAGTCATCACATCCTCTAGAAGCAAGGAGGACTCTCTAACCCTGGCCTTTGTGACTAGGTCAGTATCCCCATTAGAGGCTTCATAAAATCTACCTTTCCTTTGTAGTTTTGCTAGAATTCAGTTCTGTGTGTGACCATTTGATGAGTGTCTGTTTCCCTCAGTAGGCTGTGAAAGATGTGAAGGAACTCACTTCTCTGTTTTTGCTTACCATTGCAATTCCAGAACCAGTACTATAGTACTGCAGTAGTATTTGTCGAATCTATGGATGGTGAACATAGACACAATGTCTGTACTTGAGAATTTTGTAATACAGAATGTAGACAAGTAACAGAAATTATTATGTCTTCAGTTAATTGTTATGATGGGGTTACTAGATGCTCTGGGAGCAATGAGGAAGCACCAAAATGGATTTGTGGGCATGAGAAGGATACCTGAATTTTCTTTCTAATCTGATGTCTAATCTGATATCTGAAGACTGAGTATGAATTAGCCAAATGCAGTTGGCAGGTATTGGAGAGTAGTCTTAGGAGAAAGGTGGGGATGGCACTGTGAAGATGGGTTGTTGCCCCATCATGGAAGGGATAAGAGTTAGTTTTTTATTCTCTAGGCAAAAGTGTGCCTTGATTCCAGCCCTCAAAAAACAGGGACCTCACCCTGGCCAGTTTGGCTCAGCGATTGGAGCGTTGACCTGCGGTACAGAGAGACCCGGGTTCGGTTCCCGCTAAGGGCACGTACCTCGGTTGCAGTTTGTCCCCGGCCCTGGTTGGTTGTGCGGGTGGCAGCCACTCGATGTGTCCCTTCACATCGATGTTTCTCTCTCTCTCTCTCCCTCTCCCTCCTGCTCTATCTGAACAGAAAAATGTCCTTGGGTGAGGATAAAAAAAAAATTAAAAAAAAAAAACAGGGACCTTTGTTGAG